CGACGACGTGCTTCCCAGACAGGATCCTGCTCCCTGTGGTCTGAGGGGCCTTTCGCCGTTCTTGGCGGGCACGAGCGGGTAACGGACCCAGAGGCCTCGCTTCTAGGGAATGCGCCTGCGCAGAACCGCCCCCTCCCAACTGTCCTCTCTTCCAATCCTTCCTCTCTCCGAGCGGGGGTCCTCAGTCCTCTCTCCACCCGAGCACCCCGTCCTGGAGGCAGGGTCCCTGGCAGTTGCCTGTTCTGTAGCTACTCTGTGACCTTGGACACGTGACTTCACCTTTTCGAACCTCAGTTTACTGTCCTTGCCCAACGATAGAATGATGCCTTCAGTAAGGCTTTGCAGTCATAAGCATCCACTAAATGGTGGATGGAAACCAAAGTGGTAAAGTACAAAGTGCTTAAAGTGCAAAAGGCAATGCCCTGCTCCCATCCCCCAGGTCTGTACCCGCGCTTTCCCCCTGGCAAAGCCGAGCACCCTCTTGGTACCCTCTCTTTCCTTTCTGCTGGCGGGGTTGAACGCAAGGCTCTTTCTTCTTCCTGAGTCATGCTAGACACTGTAGTTGAGCAAACAATTCCCTTGAGCCCTGTACGAATTTTCCCGGAGGGTGAACTTTGCTCTACTTGTTTGCTTGTCTGCGGGGCCTTGTCTTTTCTGGGAAAACCTTGACATGATAGAACATACTTAGTGGATCATGCTGCTGAAGGGCGTAAATACACGGGGCCTGGGCAAGTCCCCTTGGTTTTTGAACCCTCTGTGTTGTTCTTAAGAGCGTGGAGTCTTTATGGCTTTATAATTCCCCTCTGCCTTGCAGGGTTTTAAAAAATTATTTATATATTTTTAAAATAAAAGTTGTATATACTTAAGCCGTACAACGTGATGATTTGATAAACATATACATAATGAAATGATTACTGCAGTCAAACTAACATCTCTTCACATGATTACCTTTTTTGTGTGTGATGAGTGTCCCTGAAATCTACTCTCTCAGCAAATTCCCAGTGTTAAGTATGGTATTATTAAGTATAGTCATTGTACCCCCACATTAGATCTCTAGATTTATTCATCCTACATAACTGCAGCTTTGTACGCTTTGACCAACATCTCCCTGTTCCCCTCTTGCAGTCTTGAAGCAGAAGGAAGCAGAAAGGAATGTTAACATGGAGGTTCATTCTATACTCTTAGAGTTTGGGGTTTGGTATTTGGTTCACAGGAACAAGGAGAGCGGAGGCGACCAATGATCTAATGCCCTTTCAGCAGGGTCAGCCTTCGGGCTACTTCCTAATATAAAGTGTTTCTCTTTCCAGATTGCCCGACATGTGAGTGCTATTCCTTGGGGCATCTCTGTCCCTGCAGCCCTTAGACCTGCTACTTCCCGAAGAACATGCCTGACAAATGTATTGTGGTCTGGTTCTGGTCAAGCAAAATTCGCTTTTAGCACCAGTAAGTGTTATGCCTTGGTTTGACCCCGGTAGTATGAATCACCATGCCCATCCCAGGGCATGGGCTCTGAACCCAGGCTATCCATTAGACTCACTTGGGGAGCTTTTGAAAATACACCACTATCCCAGTCCCACCGCAGACAAATTAAGTCAATATCTGAGGTGAGACTGGGACATCATTTTGTATTGTTTTTTAATCTAAATGTTAGCATAACGGTATTATTAGTTTTTTGTTTTTTTTTTTTTTTTTTAAAGATTTTATTTATTTAAGAGAGAGAGAGAGAATGAGAGATAGAAAGCACGAGAGGGAACAGGGTCAGAGGGAGAAGCAGACTCCCCGCTGAGCAGGAAGCCCGATGCGGGACTCGATCCCAGGACTCCAGGATCATGACCTGAGCCGAAGGCAGTCGCTTAACCAACTGAGCCACCCAGGCGCCCTGGTATTATTAGTTTTAGATGTACAACATAGTGATTCAAGATTTATATACATTAGGTGGTGACCACCATGATAAATCTAGGTACCATCTGTCACCATACAAAGCTGTTACGGTATTATTAACTGTATTCATGATGCTGTACACTGCACTCCCCTTTTTGTAACTGGAAGTTCATACCTTTTAATCCCCTTATCAGTGTATTTTAAAAGCTCACCAAATGATTCTAATGTCCAGTCAGGACTGAAAATTACTGAGGCAGACTGCCCTTGTGTCGCATTTCCTTGTTGGTCACCAACACCAGCACATCCTCCATCTCCTACTTGAAAATCTCCAGTGATCACTCTATCCCTTCTTTTAAGAACAAATTCTATGGGGGCACCTGGGTGGCTCGGTCGGATGAGCGTCTGCCTTCTGCTCAGGTCATGATCCCAGGGTCCTGGGATTGAGCCCCGAACTCCTCCCCTCGCCCACCCCGTGTCTGGCTCCCTGCTCAGCGGGGAGTCTGCTTCTGCCTCTTCCTCTGCCCCTCCCCCCACTCATGTTCTCTCTCTCTCTTTCAAATAAATAAAATCTTTAAAAAAGAACAGAGTCTAGCCTGATACTTAAGGGCCCTCAGAGTGTGGCCTTCAGCTGTTCATGCTTCGTCTCTTATGTTTCCTTCCACACACACCTCTCTGTTCTATTCAAACTGCCACGGGCTGTTCCCCACACCTGCCCTGTTCCCTCTTCCCTGCCCTGCCTGGACATGGCAAAATCTGAGCCGTATTTAGAATCCATGCCTAGGCTCCTTTCCTCCTCAATTCTATCTTAATTTCGTCCCTACCATCTTCTGGCATCATCTTTTTAGTCTTTTCAGTCGCCATAGTACTTTGAATTGAATTTGTGTACCATCTAGAACTACGGAAGGGGGGGTATTACCTAGACGTAGGGTTGAACTGAACCTTTTATTTAATTTATACTACTAATTAATTACTATGAGAGATTTGAATGAAGTCGGGTGTGTGATTTAGCAGATGATGAACTACATGTGCGTGTGGGCTTTCTTCAGGTTCCTCATACCACGCTCCTGCCGTCACCCAGCACGCGCCCTATTTTAAGGGCACCGCCGTTGTCAATGGAGAGTTCAAAGACCTAAGCCTTGATGACTTTAAGGGGAAATATTTGGTGCTTTTCTTCTATCCTTTGGACTTGTAAGTGTAATTTCTGTGATGCTTTAATGTCATTTAAGGTCCCTGCTTCCACCCTGACATTTCCTATCTCTGGTTGCTCTTCTGGTCAAGGGAAGGGTTCTTTCAGATCCTTTTATCACTGGTGGCCTTGCTGAGGACAGCTTGCATCTGTACAGTAAATACAATAAATAAATTTAGAGGAGGGGATGGCATTCTTTTTAGTGGGGTAGGGTTTCAACATGGCTCCGTTTTATGTGCTCCGGAGCTGTGGTTCCCATAAGCCAGTCTGTAAGGAAGTTGTCACTGGCCTGGAGGAAAAGGAGAAAAGTAAAGATAATAAAATGACTTTTCTCATAAAGCTACTTTATTTGTTTCTTTATTCTTAGAATATGCCTCTTTCCCCCTGCCCACCCCCATTTTTTGGTATGATTCTTAAATAAAGAGGTGAGTCTGGTGAGAATGGTTAACTGTTTTTGCCTTCTTCACCTTTAAGCAGTTGAACTAGTTTTTAGGCTACCTGTTTAAATTTTAAATCCTTGTTTTTAAATTCTCTGTTGGGAATTTCTGCCCTTTTTTTCTAGCACCTTTGTGTGTCCTACAGAAATTGTTGCTTTTAGCGACAAAGCCAATGAATTTCACGACGTGAACTGTGAAGTTGTTGCTGTTTCAGTGGATTCTCACTTCACCCATCTCGCCTGGATCAACACACCAAGGAAGGTATAAACCTCAGTGGCCCTGCCTTTGCACTTAGGAGCCTAAAAACTGAAAAGATCCCATAAAATACTAACCTAGAGGGGCGCCTGGGTGGCTCGGTCGTTGGGCGTCTGCCTTCGGCTCAGTCATGATCCCAGGGTCCTGGCATCGGGCTCCCTGCTCGGAGGGAAGCCTGCTTCTCCCTCTCCCACTCCCCCTACTGGTGTTCCTGCTCTTGCTATGTCTCTGTCAAATAAATAAATATTAAAAAAAAAAAAAGACTAACCTAGAAATTGTAAAAGCATGACTAGTCTGAAATGGGCTAATTCTAGGTCCTAAGCTCCTGGCAAATTCTGTTAAACTCTGTCCTTATCTCCCTCGACATTGCCTGGATTTACTGCCCACTACACATGTGTTTTCCAAGGTACAAACGGTAACGGAGAACAGGCCCAGCAGGGTGGGGGCAAGGGCGGTTGGGATCCGACGCCTCCTCCCTCACGGGTACCTTGTAGATCCCACATACCCTGCATGGCTTGTGCGATGGTGGTTAAGTTCTCTGATTTCACTCTTCTGCATGATCACTATTCCTGAAAAACGATTGGGAGAATCAAAATTTCTAGCCGTGTTGCTGGACTATCAAAACCAAATTATTCAGTCTTTATTACGCTTCCATTTTTATGCTACAGAAATTAATCTTCAAGTAAAAGAATACATCGATAATTAGAAAAAGAAAGGTCTCCAGTATTAGCTGGGTTTAAATCCTGCCTCTGTCCCTTTCTAGCCATGACCTGGAACAAGTAACTTAACTTTTGTGTGCCTCAGTTTCCTCGTGTGTAAAAAGACATGATAGTTGTATCTGCTCCAGGATAGTACTGGGAGGAAGTGAGTTAACAGAAAGAGCTAAGAGCAGTGCTCGGTCCACTGTCAGTTCTCAGTTGCTGCCACCTGTCACCATTCTTGTTAGCCTCAGACATCAGTTTACATGGCTGAGAATGGGGAGAGCATACGGTGTAACAGCCAGTCATGTCCGCATTTTTGTTAGAATGGTGGCTTGGGCCACATGAACATCGCACTCCTGTCAGATTTGACTAAACGGATTTCCCGAGACTATGGCGTGCTGTTGGAAGGCCCCGGTGTTGCTCTAAGGTAAGATCATGTTTCTTAGGAACTTAAACTTGTTTTTCATGTTTAGCATCATCCCACTTCTTAGAGGATTTATAGAACCCTCGGTAAAGCATTTTGAAAACCAAAAAGCTTCCATTCACTTTAGCCTTCTGTAAGCACTGATGAGTGCCTTCTGCGAGTGTTGGCCGTCTCGGGATGGCTGAGATGTGTCTGCCGCCTGCAGCACCCTGGGTCTCTTTCTGAGGACTAGTGTGTCTTGGTCACACTGCTGCACTTGCCCTCACCACCTGGGAGCTGCTGTCGTGGGAGGCACACTCCTGACACGTCCGGAGAAGGGGAGACTAGCAGACTGTAGGAGTCAGTGAGCTGGGAGGGGTGAGATCTTAGCCAAGCCCTGGAATCAGACCGGAGTTTGATTTTTTTTTTTTTTTAATCTCACCTATTTATTTAACAGCTGTATGACTTTGGGCAAGTTATTGAACCTCTTTGAGTCCCAGTTTTCCCATAACCAAAATGAGAATGGACCTCCCAGGTTGGTTGTGGGGACTAAATAAGGTGAGGCAGCCAAAGTTTTTAGCACAGGTTCTGGTAGCGTCATGACTCCTGTCCCAGAATGTCATTTCTGTCCTCATTCATTCAGTGGCTAGATCTTTATTACTTTGAGTGCGAAAGCTTTCTGTCTTTAACAGTCCCGTATTCAAACACAACCTTCCTGGGGGTGGGGGGATTAGACCTTAAGCCTTACAGTGGCATCTTGATGGCCACTGAGTGAAGGGGGGGTTGGTCAGAACTTGATCCCCAGGGAGCAGGCAAGGACCCCACTCTGATACGCCTCACAGTTTTGCTGGGGGCTGGCTTGAACCTGCTCACCTGCTCTTGTCTTGTTGCCTCACTCTGCTCTGGCCTGCTTTCCTCTTGGGTGACACCTGGAGTTGTAGTTCTGGGAGCCACGTTGGAGCTTGGGCCTCTTTTACTCCGGGAGATTCTGTCTTCCTTTAATACACAAAAGCCCGGCTTTGTCCTCCCAGGACCCCCTTCCCTGTGAGGTCTTGCTCATTTTGCCATTACTTCCCTACTGGTTTCACTGTTAGAATTGACAAGGGAGGGTAGCCGAGTCTGGTTTGGAAGATAAGGCTTGCTTTCCGGAGTCTGGGGGCCCTGCATCTGCACCATGGACTCCAGCTTGGCTCCGCTCTTGGTCAAGGAGCTTACAGCAAGACCCCTTGAGCCTCAAAGCCTAGACCCCCAAGAACCAGGCCCAGGGAGGAAGAAGCACCTTTCACCTTGCCTTTTTCTTTTACTTGTTTTTACCCTGCATGATTAACACTTGGAATGCCACACCCTTTTAAGACAGTTAAAACCTGTGGTTGACTTGTATCTGCATATGTCATAGTAACCCCAACACTTGCACAGAAGATGAACACAGACCACAGGGCAGGTCATTTCATTATGCTGCTGCCAAGTGATAAAGAGTAACAGTCTTGGTTTTTCCTTTAGATTTCTGCTCAGCCTAGACTTAAGGCCAGTAAATTCTTTCTGCAAGGATTTCCCCAGGGGATTCCCCCCCCCATTTACCCAAGAATTCACTCATTTCATCAGTATTTACTGAATATAGATAAAATACATCTCTGTCTCTCCTCATCTGCCTCTGGTTTCTTCTCAAGATTTGATACAGCCGCCCAAAGAACACCTAAATCACTAGTAAGTTAAAGAAGTCTGCTCTCTCTGACTTTTAGACTCTATAACTTTTCTCTGTGGGAAATACTGCCTGTTTTCCACATTGGCCTGGTCTAGTCACACCTGTGTGTGGCACGTCATCAATGAGAAATGATCAACTTTGTGTGTAACAGTGAAAGCCCCACGTTTAAGCATATGATGGAGTTTAATGCTTTATTGAGGAGAGTTAAAGACAGAAGCGGGTAGAAGTTAGACTTTGTTCTTGTGGTACCGCTGAGGTACTAATGGGGATAAATCCTGTTGCAGAGGTCTCTTCATCATTGACCCCAATGGAGTCATCAAGCATTTGAGTGTCAACGATCTCCCCGTGGGCCGAAGTGTGGAAGAGACCCTCCGCTTGGTGAAGGCGTTCCAGTTTGTGGAAACCCATGGAGAAGTCTGCCCAGCAAACTGGACCCCGGATTCTCCTACAGTAGGTTTTCCAAAGGCAGTGAGACCCCAGCATAGGGTCCCAGGTCCTCCCTGCCTCCAGGGCTCCTGGCCTAGAGTACCTACAAAAGGAGCCCACCCTTGGAGCAAGTGTGCAGATGGGTGAAGCTGCCGAGGGGCAGGGTTTGGGGCGGGGCCAGGGATTAGGCAGGCTGTTGATGTAACCTTCATCCGTGTATTTTAAAGGAAACAGACCACGCTTTAAAAAGTTAAAAAACTGGGCGCCAGGGTGGCTCAGTTGGTTAAGCGACTGCCTTCGGCTCAGGTCATGATCCTGGAGTCCCGGGATCGAGTCCCACATCGGGCTTCCTGCTCGGCAGGGAGTCGGCTTCTCCCTCTGACCCTCTTCCCTCTCGTGCTCTCTATCTCTCATTCTCTCTCTCTCAAATAAATAAATAAAAATCTTTAAAAAAAAAAAAAGTTAAAAAACTTCGGGTTAAAAACTGAGAGCTTTCAACTCACTTTTGAGACTTACCTTGAAGTCAGCTGCCTAATTAGATGTTTTTGTATTTTCAGATAAAGCCACATCCAACTGCTTCCAAAGAATACTTTGAGAAGGTAAATCAGTAGATCATCCCATGTGTACCCACCTCTTCTCACATCAGGAAAGAGCTGCAGTTGGAACTCACTTTGAGCATTTCAAAGATGATTATTTATAGAAGACAAAACACCAATTACGCTTGTATTAATAAATAATACTCTAAATGTTTTAGTGACTTTGTAACATTGGCTGAGGCTTTTAAATGTCCTCACACACTTAAAGCATCCTTTATTGGTAACTTCCTGATGGCTGGCTAGTTTATAGAATGCTAGTTTACCTGTTGCTTGGATTATCTTTAATGGAAAGAGGAAACATTCTTTGTTGGCCTTACGTGAACCTTCATGTACACCGGAATAGTACAACACTCACTGAAGCTTCTGATCAAGGGTCCTGAAAAGTTTCGTCTTGAATTTCTTTGTACAAAACTGAATTTTCTTTTAAGGTAACAAAGATCATACGTAGTTTTAAGGTGTTAACATCAGTGGTCTAATTTAACTCTTGCAATGAATGGATATGTACTTGAAACAAATGAGAATCATGTTTTTAAAAAACACGGTGGTGGGGCGCCTGAGTGGCTCAGTCGTTAAGCATCTGCCTTCCGCTCAGGTCGTGATCCCAGGGTCCTGGGATCGAGCCCTGCATCGGGCTCCCTGCTCAGCGGGAAGCCTGCTTCTCCCTCTCCCACGTCCCCTGCTTGTGTTCCCTCTCTTGCTGTGTCTCTCTGTGTCAAATAAATAAATAAATAATCTTAAGGCACAGTGGCAGAGTGACTTAGGTGATCGTGCATATTTCTCGTCCCTGAGATTAATATGGCTGTTTTACTTGTTAGCTGACATAGGGTCTACATACAATTCCAGATATTGATTGGGTGTAATTATAAAGGATATTTATCGAGTCTAGGAATTGCATTTTGAAATCATTGTAATTATTTTCTTTTCTGAAATGCTCAATGTGTAAAGTACATAATAAACATATTTTAAAAATATTTGCATGTTTAATACCATTAATTGTTGGTTCAGCTTATATTATGGGGCTGTAGTTTCCCTTCTGATTATATCAACCAACATTTGTGGAGCATTTAACTCAGGGCCCACAAAAATGAGTAAGATGCTGGCTCTACACCCAAAGAACTCAGGTTCAGGCAAGAGAGAGATGAAGCATTTATTCGTTATTGTGGTAAATCCTGAGTGCCTACCACATGCCAGGTGCTGTTTTGCAGGCACAAGGGTGAATCAAAGAAAGACAACCCCCTTCCTTCAAGCAATTACATTCTAGAGGGGGAAAACCAATAAATACAATAAAAATACATAGAATGTTTGGAAGGGAAATAAACTGCAGCAAGGGCTAGAGCAGAGAATTGAACAAGCTAAGGACTTTGGATTCTCTTCTAAGATGGAAAACGTAAGGAAGGTTTTGACAAGAGTCACGTCAACTTGTTCTAGGAGGATCACTGTGGCTCCTTTGTTAAGACTAGACCGTAAGGGTCCTGAGAAGAGAAGCTGAGCTGGATTTGTGACATACTTGAGGGTAGAGCCAACAGGATAATATCAGTGTGCTAAGTACTATGGCACAATGGGTGCATCCCTGGGGCATAAGGGGAACGCTGAGGGGGGGGCACCTGACCCAGCTGTGGGTGTGGGAAAGAACTTCCTGGAAAAGAAGGTGAACTCTTGAGGCTGTAGAAAAGTGAGCCAGGTGAACTGAGTAAAAGAAGCTGTCAAGTTACATTGGCCTGAAGAAAACATGAGCTGGTTTCATGTCCCTGGAGGGGAAGGCGAGGCAAGGCAAGGCAAGGGATGGAATAGGCCAGTGGGCTATTAAAGGCCCAAACAGCATTTCCAATGGACCCAGTGTCATATTAGGACTTTCACATGTTTTAACTCATTTGATTCTCAACAAAACCTTAAAATAGGTATAATTGTCCTCATTTTACAAATGAGTAAATAGACGCACTTATATTGACTTGACCAGGACCATCCAAATAAGTAATCGGTGGTGCTGGGTCCTCAACCCAAGACTCAAGAGGACCCCTGAACTCCTTAAACATCCGGGAAGATACATTCAACAAACACCCATAGCCCCCACCCACCATAGTGAAGGGCCATCGGGCTAGGGGAGGCAGCAGCAGGAGGAAGGCAGGTGCATTTTTTTCTCTACAACCAGCACCTACTTGATCTGGTATTCAGAGGAACTGGATCTACCCCAGTGCAGTTTGCACCGTGTGTGGTGACCCCATCACAGGCCAAGGCAGGGCCCCACAATTGGAAGGGACCTGGGCCTGGTTTAATTCTCTGATACTGACTTTTTTTAAATTACCTTTTTTTTTTATTATTATTCATTTAGAGAGCACAACCGGGAGGGGCAGAGGGAAAGGGAGAGAATCTAAGCGGACTCCACACTGGGCGTTAGCCAGGGGCAGGGCTTGGTCGCTCCACCCGGAGATCAAGACCTGAGCGAAACGAAACCAAGAGTTGGAGGCTTAACCCACTGCACAACCCAGGTGCCCTTAAATTCTCAATCTTTTTTAAATAAGGGGCACCACATTTTCAAATTTCACCGTGAAAATTAGGTAGCCAGCCCGGACTATCCCCAGTGCCCTCTACACTGGACTTAACGGGCAACTGAAGATTCTCCACCACAATGTCCAAAAAGTTGGTGCACCTGTCACGTGGGTAAGATGCAGGTCCTTCTCAGTAGGTACTAGGATACGAGGATTTCCATAGGTGACCGACCCCCGCCCCCAGGCTGGAAGCGGCCCGGCTACCCTAACGGGTAGAAAAGGCTGGGAAGACTTGGTCGGTGGGACGGAGGGCGCACGGGGACCGGAGCGGGGGTGGAGGCGTGGGATTTGGGGCGCTGGCGCGTGGTGACAGCGAGCAGCGGGAGTGCGGAGACCGGGCAGCGGGAACACCAGGCTGCCGAGGCCGGGGCGCCGGCACACGTTGACACCGAGCCGCGGGCGCGCCAGGAACGCGGCGGCGGGAACAGGGGACGCGCGCGCGCCCGGGGCGGGGCACGCTGCCCGGCTCCTCCTCCGCGCCTGGCCCGGCGGCCGCTGCCCCTCCAGCCACCGCACAGATCCCAGGAAGCAGCGCGGGAAGAGGAGGAAGCGCGGGGGCCCGGCGGCTCCCTGGGTGCAGCGGCACGGCTCCCGCATGGAGCCCAACGTGCGCTTCTGGATCACCGAACGTCAAGTACGGCCCGGGCCCGGCGCGGCTGGGGGCGGGGTGGCCCTGGGCCCCGTGGAGTCGCCGGCTGGCCCGAGTGACCTTGGGCAGGCCACGTGGTCGCACCACCCGCCTTCCCACCTCAGACCCCGGGAGGGGACGAAGGGGAAACCCAACGCAAGGGTGCGGGATGCCGACAGCCACGGCGGTTACCGCGTATCACCGCTGCCCCGGGCCTGGCTAGCGAGGGTCGCCACAAGGTCGCCCTGCTCTGGGGAGTCAGCCCCCCCGCCCCCCCGCAGGTGTCTGCCCTCTGCTGCCTGAGCTGTTGCTGAGCATCAGGTTGGAAAGGGACAGGTGCTCCCAGGAGCCCCCAGCCTCCCAAGCTCGGTAGGCTCAGCCACTCAAATGACGCGGGGGCTGCGGGCAGCCGGCGAGGACAGGAAGTCGGTCCGGCCCCGCCTCCAGGCGGGGACGGGACGGCGCTGCCCAATGGCAATGGGATGGGAGCCATATAGGTCATTTAAAATTTTCTAGTAACCACCTTCAGACGGGTAAAAAGAAATAGCTGAAATTAATTTTAATGTATTTAGCCCAACAAATATAAAATACTAACATTTCAACACATAATCGATATAAAATTATTAGTGAGATATTTACATGCTTTTTTTTCTAGAAAGTCTTTGAAATCTGGTGTCTATCTTACACATACAGCATACTTCAGTTTGGCTTGGCCACATTTCAAGGGCTCCATAGCCACTTGGAGCTAACTGAACAGTATAATTCTAGGGTGTTCTCTTTCAGCCTTAGCTAAAGTAGGGCCCAGCTGGGCTTTCTTAGGTGGGGAAGTAGAAAGGGACAGGGAGCTCATGCCTCCTCCACGTGTGAACTGAGCAGCCTTTACTGAGGCCTTGCTGGGGGTGTCCGGTTCTTTATGACTCAAGTTAAGCCTTATAACAAGGATGAGGGTAAAGAAACAAATTCTGAGACCCTTCTAGGTAGTTGGTTCAAGGTCATTTGTGGGATGTGGACTAGGCCCATTTGACCCCAAAGTCTGGGCTTTTAACCTTCAAGAGTAATTTGATATGGAAGTGGTTAAGAGCACATGCTACTGAGTCCTTTCCTGGCTGGGTTTCCATGGGTACGTTCATGAGCTTTTCTATGCCTGTTTCCTCACCTGTAAGATCCCGAGGACGTCCTGCAGATTCCGAGAGCTGCTTCGGTTAGAAGGCCCTGCTAGGGTCTCAAAAATAATGCTAACTGCTATTATTGTATCTTTTTTGTTGTTGTTCCTGCCACCATTAACCTCTCTGGTGCTCTTTTCCCTCTTAAGTCTTTTATTCAGAGATTTCTTCAGTGGACAGAATTGTTGGATCCTACAAATTTGGTCGTTTCAATTGTAAGTATTTCCTTGTTTTTAGAAATAAGACATTTTACATTTTATTCTGAAATAAGACTACGTCCCTTTGAAAGCAGTTGAAACAGAATCCATACATATTGTTTTTATTCCTTCCGAATGAGCATGTTAGACTGGAAGGTTTATAAACAAAAGCAGACAGATAACACCAGGGTTGGTACTGCCGCTTCAGAAGGGATCAAAATAAGTCCCTGGTAACAGGACAGATGGACAAAGGTGGTCACCGGCCTAGACCTAGGGTGCTAAAGGAGGGGTGCGGCCGGAAACTGGGGGAGAGTGTTGAGGCAAGGCCAGACAGAGGGGACTGTAAGCAAAGCCCAGGTGAGAGAGCAGGTCGTCCGGTCAGTGGGGGCTTTTAATTCAGGGAAGCAGGCAGGTCCTCAAGGGCCTTGTGTGTCCTTCAAATGGGAGGGGTTTGCATTTGGCCTACAGGGCAAGGTGGTGAGGTTTGTGTTCGGGAGGGTCTTTTTGGTCACCAGGTGGTGAGTAATGAGGGTTTGAACCAGGTGTGGCCGAGGATTCAAGAGGAGGAGATACCGTATCAGCAGCCATAATCCTTCAGGGCTGGACCCACAGGGACACTCCCATCCTTGTGCTCTAGATGTTCCGTGCTGCCTTGTTTTTTACAAAATAACCTGTATCCGGGCGCCTGGGTGGCTCAGTTGGTTAAGCGACTGCCTTCGGCTCAGGTCACGATCCTGGAGTCCTGGGATCGAGTCCCACATCGGGCTCTCTGCTCAGCAGGGAGTCTGCTTCTCCCTCTGACCCTCCCCCTTCTCGTGTGCTTTCTCTCTCGCTCTCTCTCATTCTCGATCTCTCAAAATGAATAAATAAAATCAAAAAATTAAAAAAAAAAAAAAAAAACCTGAATCCCCATCAGTAGGGAAATAGAGAAACATAACATGGTATATTCATATAGTGGAATACTAATAAAAGTGATGATCTAGTTATCAATGTATAATATTAAGTGGAAACAGTATATAATGCTAAATGGAAAACATGTCTACAGTGTTTAATGGAAAAAGCAGGATGCATAAAGTACATTTATGCAAATTACAATATAAAGACCCAATACTACATCTTTGTTTATAGATACATATATTCATGTATATATAAGTATAAAAAAGTGGACTGGAAGTTAATACCTTGAACTCATAATAGTGGTTATCTCTGATAGAATGGGGAGACACGAAACTGGGGGTGACGGCTTTTGGGGAAAAAAAATTGGAAGCAAATATGACTGAATGTTTACTGTTGTTAATTCTGGATGAGGGGATTATGAGTATGTACTCATTTTGTTGTCTTTTCTGTATTCTTTTTTCTCAAATTAAGAAAAGAATGAAGAGGGGCGCCTGGGTGGCTCAGTCATTAAGCGTCTGCCTTCGGCTCAGGTCATGATCCCAGGGTCCTGGGATCGAGTCCCACATCGGGCTCCCTGCTCGGCGGGAAGCCTGCTTCTCCCTCTCCCACTCCCCCTGCTTGTGTTCCCTCTCTCGCTGTCTCTCTCTCTGTCAAATAAATAAATAAAATATTAAAAAAAAAAATGAAGAGAGGAAGTAAGCCCGAATGGATCAGATGTGGGAGTGAGAGAGAGGAGGGACTTCTAGGTTTCTAACTTACAGAGCCAGGCAGATGGTGGGAGCACTCACGGAGACAACTGACATCAGCTGTCTGGGGGGAGGGGGAGGTGGCAGCCACCCGTGGGTCAAGCTGCTGGAGCTCTAAATCTGAGTGACACACAGCACTATCCTCATGGAAACTCTCAAGGAGTAGAGAACCTTGGCTACGAGTTGCACTGAAACCAGGTGTGAATGAGCATGTGATTCCTAAATCATTTGGACAAACCTAAATCAGGTTGAGATCATTGCTTGATTTCTTTCTATCTGATTATAGGAAAAAATAGAAAAATCAAGGCAGCTATTGTTAACAAATGAAGATGCATCTGTACGTGACTTGGAGGACCAAAGGGTATGTCTCGTGTGCTGGGTTCAAGGTTGGATGTGGTTGCCTTCAGGAGATTTCTGCTTGCATGGTCTGAAATCAGGTGGAGTGTGGTCATCATAAACACTGCCCAGGGGATCTGCTTTCCAAAACTGGATTAGTTTTTTTAGATGTAATTAGAATTCGTTCTCATAAACCAGATTACTAGTAGGAGGAACTAGTATTGAGGAGGAAAAAAAAAATCCTAGGGTTCTTCCTATGCTCAGATATTAGCGGGGATTCTCTGTGGCTGATCCCTGCAGCCCATGGCAAACTCCAGAATTCAGGCAGGCCTCTGAAGTCAGAATCTGTTTCCCATTAGAGGAAGTGTTCCAGGTCAGGGTTACATTCCTGCCCCAAGACTTAAACCAAATATTTGTTATCTATCTTGCTGTGTATGGGGCTTTCCAGAGCCCACAAGTATCAGTTCCGTGAAGCAGCGTGTGGAAAGTGCACATATTTATGTTGGTTTGATGTTTTTTTTAAGAACTTCATGGGGCCTCTGGGCTCACAGCCTGGCTCTGAGGCAGGTGCCTTGGCTGGCTAATGGCGTGGTGTATCACCTGCAAACAACCTGCTCTTCTCTGAGCCAGGGGCAGGCTGGATTTAGGGACTCACCTGAGGGCTGTTAGGTGTTGGCCTTGAACCCTCTCCAAGGTAAGAGACTGAGGACTTTTTGGGGCACCTGGGTGGTTCAGTTGGTTAAGTGTCTGCCTTCAGCTCCGGTCAAGGTCCCAGGGTCCTGGGATTGAGCCCCGCATCAGGCTCCCTGCTCCTCGGGGGGCCTGCTTCTCCCTCTGCCTGCCACTCCCCCTGCTTGTGCTTTCTCTCTCTGATAAATAAATAAATCTTTTAAAAAAAAGAGACTGAGAATTTTTAATATTCTGGTCATTTTCTTTCTGTGGGTCATCTCATTGCTTATTGTCAGTTCATTTGTTTGATTCATTTGATTCATTTATTTTGACTTTTCTATCCGCATGGCATTGAACAGTTCTGGTTTTCACTCTTTTTTTTTTTTTAAGATTTTATTTATTTGACAGAGACACAGTGAGAGAGGGAACACAAGCAGGGGGAGTGGGAGAGGGAGAAGCAGGCTTCCCGCCGAGCGAGGAGCCCGATGCGGGGCTTGATCCCAGGACCCTGGGATCATGACCTGAGCGGAAGGCAGACGCTTAATGACTGAGCCACCCAGGCGCCCCTGCTCTTCACTCTTGAAAAGGCAGAGTGAAGATGGCACCAGAAATGAGACTGGAGAAGAGATGGGTTTTTTTTTCTCTTTTGCTGCCAATTTACCTTTAAAAGCTGTTACTTGTTTTTTTCTCTTTTCAGGTAAAAGATGCTTGGAAGAGAAGTCTCGTAAGTTTCAGTCCTTTCCTAATTTTTAGCCTCCACAAAAACAAAGCCAAACATCAGACTAACCTTTGTGTTTACCTTTGCAAAGTCAACAGTTCATCCTGACAACAGCAAACTGATCCCTGTTCCTTTTCGACCTGCAGGTGAGCTGATTCTAATTTTCAGAAATGGGTTGGGAAAACATGGTTTGTTTGTAACAATTCAGAAAGTCTGCCTGCCTTTTTTTTTTTTTTCCCTGGAAGAATTTCTGATTGTGAGTCTGGAAACCACAGCTTTATTTATTTATTTATTTTTTAAGATTTTTATTTATTTATTTGAAAGAGAGAGAGAGAGCACATGAGAGGGGGGAGGGTCAGAGGGAGAAGCAGACTCCCCGCCGAGCAGGGAGGCCGTTGCGGGACTCGATCCCGGGACTCCAGGATCATGACCTGAGCTGAAGGCAGTCGCTTAACCAGCTGAGCCACCCAGGCGCCCTGGAAACCACAGCTTTAAAAGGATGTTTGCATCAGAGTCTGGGTTTGATAGTGGAAAAGAGCAGGTTTGAGACCCAGAGCTGTGTCCAGTCCTGTGGAAAGATCTGGGGAGTTGGGGGTGAGGGCACAGGCCTGGGTCTGAAACCTGCTTTGTTCTGTCATCTCCCAAGAAATACACAGTCATTTCTTTGATGGTTCCAGAACTTGTAACTCATAAGTGTTTTGGATTCCACGTAGTATTCTCTCTCTCTCAACTATGATGAGGGGAGGGATGCCTGGGTGGCTCAGTTGGTTAAACGTCTGCCTTCGGCTCAGGTCATGATCCCGGGGTCCTGGGATCGAGCCCCACGTTGGGCTCCCCGCTCAGTGGGAGCTTGCTTCTCCCTCTCTCCGCTGCTCCCCCTGCGTGTTCTCTCTGTCAAATAAATAACTAAAAATCTTAAAAAAAAAAGAAAAATGTGATGAGGGGAATAAAACCCATGATTGTACAGGGCCCTTTTAACTATGAAATTCTCTCTGTTATAAACAAGAAACTGGAAACAACATGAATATCCAACAATTCGGACTATAGTTAAATAATTCATTAAAAAGATTGACGTACATCCTGTGTGCCAATGTAGAAGAATGGATCTCCAGGAACTAGTATTAAGGAGAAAAAAGGCAAAGTGTAAAACAGCATATAGTGATCCTCTTTGTGTGAATAAGTATCGTGAGCACAAGAGAGTGTGGGAGTTTGCATCTATCCTGATAGATGTCATGAAGGAAAAACACTTGTTTCTCCTCTCGATGCTTCACTTTTTTTTTTAAGCCTATCCATGTGAGTTGGCATTTTTTAACTTTATTATTTTTAGTAATCTCTACACCCAACGTGAGGCTCAAACTCACAACCCACGAGATCAAGAGTTGTGTGCTCTACTGACCGAGCCAGCCAGGTGCCCCTGAGGTTTCACTTCTGATACCAGATGTGCAGGCTTTTCCCACCCCCTTCAATTCTGTGACCCCCAGCAGCGTGTCCTAGTTTTAATGCAGTTCTGACATGTCGACCTGGAGGCGGCAGCAGAGCCCCCAGGTGAAGGGCTCAGTCCTGCAAGACCACCCCCACTTCCAATGCCAATTGAAAGTCCAGATTCACTCCTGTACTTCTGACCAACCTGCTATAAATTGGAGGTTCTTACACCTCCCTCCTTGGGTTTGAAATTGCTAGAATGGCTCACAGAACTCGGGGAGACAGTTTACTTACTAGGTTCCTGGTTTATTATTAAAGGGAACAGATGGAAGAGATGCACAGGGCAAGGGGTGCTGGGGAGGACGAAGTTTCCACACCCTCTCCAGTACCGCACGTGCTCAGCAAGCCAGAAAGCTGTGAGAGTGGAGGCTTTATTAGTATGGTTGACTAAATCCTTGGCCACTGTGACTAGCCCTGCCTCCAGCCCCTTTCCCCGCCCAGGAGGTGGAGGCAGTGGGTGGGGCTGGAATGTCCAACCTCCTCATCCCCCAGCTGGTTCCCCTGGCAACCAGCCCCCTGCTCGGAGGCTTTCCAAAAGTCCCCTTATTTTATTTTATTTTAAGATTTTATTTATTTATTTGACAGAGAGAGACACAGCGAGAGAGGGAACACAAGCAGGGGGAGTGGGAGAGGGAGAAGCAGGCTTCCTGCTGAGCAGGGAGGCCGACATGGGGCTGGATCCCAGGACCCTGGGATCATGACCTGAGCCAAAGGCAGATGCTTAATGACTGAGCTACCCAGGCGCCCCCCAAAAGTCCCCTTATTAACATCAACTCAGGGGGCGCCTGGGTGGCTCAGTGGTTAAGCATCGGCTCAGGTCATGATCCTAGGGTCCTGGGAATGAGCCTCACATGGGGCTCCCTGCTCAGGGGGAGCCTGCTTCTCTGTCTCCCACTCCCCCTGCTTGTGTTCCCTCTCTCAATGTCTGTCTCTCTCTGTCAAATAAATAAATAAATCTACCTTTAAAACAAAACAATATCAACTCAGGCGAGGTGGAAAGGGGCTTGCTAGGGTAAAAAAGACACCCATTTCACCTTTTTATTGCTGTTCTTAGGAAACTCCAAGGGTTTTAGGATCTCTGTGCTAAGAACAGGGATGAAGAGCAAATCCAGGTTTCTTTTTATAAATGACAGTATCATGAATGTGCTAAGTTCCTGGGGAAGGCTGAACAGGTTAACACCGCTTGCCTCCAGTGAGAGGGACTGGGAAGGCCGGAGGGTGCCTCGTTAGGTCTTTCTGGACAGTGCTGACTGAAATGCTAGCTGTGTGCACATAGTTATTATTAGGAAAAATAAAAGAATGAGTAAAGACTGTCCTTTGGCATCCGTGCCTTCAGGGTGCCAGAGGGAAGGTTCTCGGGTGGGCAACTCCCCTTTCTGGCTTCTTCCCTCCGCCTGGGCAGCGGCGGTCACTGATCCGCTTCTCTTCTTTGCCAGCTCTCCTACCTTTCACGGCGCCCATGGTGAGTCGGCTTGAGACCCCAGGTGTAGGAAGATGTCGCTCGTCTCCTAACCTCAGTGGTTTGTGACCTCCAGCTCTGGACCCCTGTCCCGCCACGGCCTGGGAGATGGCTGTGGATTCCCCACCTCTGACCCTTGTCTGCTACTCACATGCCTTCACCCCGCCCGCACACTTACCCAGTCAGGCGCCTCTCGAAGGTCCCTGTGTCACAAGGTTTTCCTTTCTCGGGATGCCTCGGGTGCGCAGAGCACTTCCGAGGAGATGGACGACAGGCTCCCTGCCTCAAGCACACAGAATAGTCCATTACCTTCTCTCCCTTAAGCCTCCTCCCCCGTACACGCCCTCACCTGGGACCTGGAACTGCCCCCCAGCGAGGCGGTCCCACCTTGACTCTCACGAGGTGCTCTCACAAAGGGACAGCCTTCCTCCGTCACTTCCTCCACACCTGCCCTGTGTCTGTGTCCACTCGTGAGTGTGTACTCCTCAGCTGCCCTGCCGCATCGCACATCTTGGAAGCAGGGACCACTGTGAGACACCCCCCCCCCCGGGTGTCCTCAGTGTCCTGTGGGTGTTTGCTGAGCATTGCTCACCACCGCCCGGTAGCCTCCTTGTCCCAGAGCCTGGGGAGAGTGGGGTGCTCAGTGCAGTGTCTCCCCTGGGAAGTTCTTTGTCCCCACCCTCCAGCAAGTTCTCCCTCCCCTCCAAACACTTAAAACTCTGCTTTATTTTCTTAAAAGATATTTTTCTCGATGCTGTCAGTAAAAAGTCTGAAGTCCCTGATTTTACCTCAGGTAAAAACTATTTCTATTTCATGATTCCTGAGTTCTGTTGTGCTCGAATGACCATAGTGTGTGATCTACGTGCCTGTCTTTCTGCAGATTTCCTTCTATACCTACACTACAGCGTTCAACATTGTCAATGGAAACGCAAGTTATGTGAGTATTATGAGGCCCAGGGGATATGCAATTCTGTGTTACTTCTTTTGGAGTTTGTTTGTTTTAATAATCCTTCCTGGGTAAAACCGTGGTGTTTGCTGAATACATACTTTTGTTTCTTCCTTAGAATCGTCGCCTACATGAGAGTGTGTTACTAGGGACAGGAGTGATTGCCTCTTCCTCCTTTTTTGGAGTGGGTATTTTAAAAATCTATCAAACCGGGGCGCCTGGGTGGCTCAGATGGTTAAGCGGCTGCCTTCGGCTCGGGTCGTGGTCCCGGAGTCCTGGGATCAAGTCCCGCGTCGGGCTCCCTGCTCGGTGGGGAGTCTGCTTCTCCCTCTGACCGTCTTCCCTCTCATGCTCTCTCTCATTCTCTCTCTCTCAAATAAATAAATAAAATCTTAAAAAAAAAAATCAAATCTTTTTTATTCCTCAGAACAAAAGAAACTATTCTGAATTACAAATTTGTTTCAAGTTAAACAATTTAGAAAGTATGGCTAAGGGGTGCCTGGGTAGCTCAGTTGGTTAAGCGTCTGCCTTCGGCTCAGGTCATGATCCCAGGTTCCTGGGATCGAGCCCCCCATCGGGCTCCCTGCTCAGCGGGAAGCCTGCTTTTCCCTCTCCCACTCCCCTTGCTTGTGTTCCTGCTCTCACTATGTCTCTCTCTGTCAAATAAATAAATAAAATCTTTAAAGAAAAAAAAGAAAGAAAGTATGGCTAAGAGATAAGAAGGACAATGGTCACCTGTAATCCCATCACCCCCTAAGGAAGCATACGAGTACCCCAAGTTTCTAGGCATATACTTAGTATTCTTACCTTTTTAAAAAATTTACTTAGGCTACATAAACATGTTATACAAGTTGTGTATTGCCTGGGATGTCAGGACACTGATGGTTAAAAATACAGACATTAGAGTCAGATAAGCCGGGTTGGCCTCCTGGCTCAAATTCTTAGCAGCTCCGAGACTCCGGACAAGTTACCTCCCTAAGCCTCCGTGTGTGCCTCTGATGATCGGGCGAACACCTCAGTGTTGCAAAAATTAAAACATAACACACGGAGCTCTTGCGGTGGCCTGAGCTGGGATAGGAACTAGGTTGATGCCAGCTCTGTGCTACTGAGTGTGTTCAGTTGACTTTGCTTCCTTTGCAATGACGAGTTTTCTCTCTTCTTCTTCTAGTTATTCCCTCGTTTGCTCCAGATGCGGCTGAATCACGTTCTGTTGAAAAAAGCCCTTCCCGTCGTCATTCTCAGTAAGCAGGAAGCATGTAATCTTTGTGGTCCTTGAGTCTCCCTACATCTTCAGGGACAGCCCAGTCCCTTGGCCACATGGTGACTGTTGACAGCTGCTGTTTGCAGCTTCCCGGGGCCTCCAGGTCCACGTTAGGTCCTTGGTCCTTGCTCTGTCGCTCTGCTTTCCATTGTCAAAGGGTGAACACGAGCCCGGGAGTACAAACTCGCTCTAAAGATGGTGCCCGCCCTCTGCATGTTTAATTTCACTTCGTCCTGCCAAAAACGTGTGGGTAGCAATGTCATTATTCCATTTCCAGATAGGGAGGCTGAGGCAGGGGCACTTGATGGAACTGTCCTATGGTCACACACAGAGGAGGCGGCAGCCTAGGGGGCTCCAACCTGGTGGGCCGACTCCGGTGGAAGTGACAGAGATACTAGCCAACTGTTTGAAGTTTGCCAGCTTGCAAGTTCACTAGTTCACACTCCACATTTGAGTTTGGAAATTGTAACAGTTTGAAGAGTTGGCAGAATGATCTCAGTGGTAAAATCGGGGAGAATGTTATAGAAACCTGGTCAGACCAGCTAAAGCAAAGAAGGGGGCTGTATTTCAAGGACCCAGGGATTTGTCCTGGAATCCCGTCGCGGGGACTGGAGCCTGGCCGGCCCCAGGACCCAGGACTAGGAGGCCAGCGGTTCTGACCCAGCTCTGCAGCCCCCGGACGGAGCGAGATTGGCCAGCACATGCCGGCTGACCACTTGAGGGTCGGGGCAGCCTAGCCACCAGAGAAAGATGCTTGACACCAGAAAAGATGTTCTTTCGCTGGACCAAACTCGCCCTCTGTTGTGCATTTTCTTCTTCACATACACAGCCCACATCAGTGCAATGAATGTTGTCGCAGCCCGAAGTCTTGAGCCCATTCGAGGCATTGAAGTCATGGATAAGGAAGGCAATGTCATGGGCTATTCCAGAAAAGCCGGGACAAAGGTAAGGGGACGCTATGGAACCCTGGCAGGCTTACCTTTTGGGGAGAGCATGGAGTTGTCTGAGAGCTGGGAACAAAGTCATGTCTCCCTTCAACCTTTCCCCATCCTGTTTTCCCTCATTATGCGGAGGGAGCAGTTTTACATCTTGCACCACAATGTTTAAAAGATGGTGCATTAGGGGCGCCTGGGTGGCTCAGTTGTTAGGCGTCTCAGCTTGGGTCGTGATCCCAGGGTCCTGGGATCGAGCCCCGCGTCGGGCTCCCTGCTCGGCGGGAAGCCTGCTGCTTCCTCTCCCACTCCCCCTGCTTGTGTTCCCTCTCTCGCTGTGTCTATCTCTGTCAAATACATAAATAAAATCTTAAAAAAAAAAAAAAAGATGGTGCATTAGTCTGGGTTCTCCAGAGAAACAGAACCAATAGGATATTGATTGATTGATTGATTGATTGTAATTGGCTCATGCAATTGTAGGGCTTGTAGGCTAGTCAAGTGTTGGCCCCATCTGCAGGCTAGAAACTCAGGAGCCCATGCTGTGGTCTACAGGCAGAATTTCTTCTTTGGGAAAACCTAGATTTTGCTCTCAGGGTTTTCCAACTGATTAAATGAGGCCCATTCACACTATGGAAGGTAATCTTATTTAAAGTTAACTGATTGTAGATGTTAGCCACATCTACACGGCAGCACAGCAGTTCGTGTTTGATTAAATTCCTGGGTGCTCTAGCCTAACCAGATTGACACGTATGAATGACCGCCACCGATGGGCCTCCGCCAAATGCGAGGCCGCTCTCTGAGGGTGAGATCCTGTTCTTCGAGCTCAACATCCGCCCCGCAGGCTGCTCTGTGCTTGTGGAAGTCAGTGGAGTCCCTCTCTGGGTTTAAGAGAAACGTTCCTTTTCCACCTCACAGTAGATTTTCTTATAGTCTTCATCTTTAAGGACCAGTTTGCTATCAAGAATGGCCAGGGGCGCCTGGGTGGCTCAGTGGTTAAGTGTCTGCCTTCAGCTCAGGCCATGATCCCGGGGTCCTGGGATCCAGCCCCGTCTGGCTCCCTGCTCAGCGGGGAGCCTGCTTCTCCCTTTCTCTCTCCCTCTGCCTCTCCCCCTGCTTGTGCTTGCACGTGAGTTCTCTCTCTCAAATAAATAAAAATTTTTTTTTTTAATTATTTATTTGACACAGAGAGAGAGAGCACAAGCAGGGGAAGTGGCAGGCAGAGGGAGAAGCAGGCTGAGCAGGGAGCCTGATGGGGGGCTTGATCCCAGGACCCTGGGATCATGACCTGAGCTGAAGGCAGCCGCTTAACTGACTGAGCCACCCAGGCGCCCCAATAAATACAATCTTAAAAAAAAATGGCCCGAGGAAATCCAGTGCTCTGAGCAGAATGCCTCTAACAGGCCTGAATTTTTAATAAGGTTTATTATTAAATAGTTTATTTTTTTGATCAATTCAGTACAACGGCTTCTATTAACAGTCAGCTTAACAAAACTGGAACAACCTAGGGTGGTCTTGTTTTGGGTGTGGACTTTTTTAATGATACTTTTTCAGCAGGTGAGATTTTTTTTTGGTTTCTGTGAAGTGACGTTAGCTAAAGAATGGAATGTGAGGCAGTTGTATGCAAATGGCATGAGGAACAGCACAGAACCGCTTCTCACAGTGTCTGTGTCCGAGGGGCCTGCCATCGGGACATCTCCTGCCCCATGTGTTGGCAGGAGGTCAGAAAAGATGGCTGCTCGTTCAGTCAGTAAATACGTCATTGTTTGGCTCACAAAGCATATTCCACTAAACCCTATCTGCGAGTCACAAAGCTGGATTATAAACCATCACGTGTGCCACCGGATTTCTGCCAGACCATTTATATTCAGTGGCATGTCTGAAAATAGTGGCTACCTTCCTAAATGAATTATAGTAGAGACACAGTGATTACAGGTAACAAGGGGAGAAGTAGCTGCCAAAAATAGGTCGCTTTTGAAATAAAGGTTTTGTGCCTAAGAGCCACCCTAATGAGACCTTTTTATTGAGAGATAATTTATGTACTATAAAATTCGCCCTTTGTGAGAGTATAGTTTGATAAATTTTAGTAAATGTAAGCAGTTATGCAGCTGTCACCACGGTCCAAATTTAGAACGTATTCTAAAAATTTCCCTCGTGCCCACTGAGTCACTCCCTTCGCCCACTCCCCGGCCCCAGAGAAACACTGATTTGCTTTATGTATTCATAGTTTTGACTTTTCAGAAATTTCATGTAAGTGACTCGTACAAGTGTTTTTTATGTCTCATTCCTTTCACTTTTGAGGTTCATCCACCTGTACCGTGTACCTACCAACAGTCTGTTGCTTTTTACTGCCGAGCAGCGTTGCATGTATGGATGTACCGACCACATCTGCGTATCTTTTCCCCAGGCCGGGGGTATCTGGACTGTGTCCAGTCTGGGGCTGTTCTGCATAATGCTTCTCTGGACGTGCACAGGTCTTCATGTGGACGTCAGTTTGCGTTTCTCTTCAGCTCCCTTTACCTGCAGGGTGTCAGGGCTGCTGTGAACTGTGCACACAGCTGAAGAGAAGAGTGAGAGCAGGTGTTTAATTGGTGAGTAGCCCCGCTGCACGAGGCGCCTGACCAGGTGCTGGGCTAGGCTCAGCTTGGCCACGGCCACGCCCTCAGCTGCTCGGCCACGCCCTCAGCCGCTCGGTCACGCCCTCAGCCGCTCGGCCACTCCCTCAGCGGCAGGCTCGCTTCTCTCTGGGAGGCCCGGGTGCGCAGCCTCTCAGGAGAGGCGGCCTCGGGCCCCACAGGCTGTCTGGATATCTGGTCCGTCTCTCCGGGAGAAACTCCCGTTTTCTTTCTTTTTTTTTTTTTTTAAGATTTTATTTCTTTATATGACAGAGACACAGCGAGAGAGGAAACACAAGCAGGGGGAGTGGGAGAGGGAACACAAGCAGGGGGAGTGGGAGAGGGAGAAGCAGGCTTCTCGCTGGCAGGCCTCCCCGATGCGGGGCTCGAACCCAGGACCCTGGGATCGTGACCTGAGCCGAAGGCAGACGCCTAACGACTGAGCCACCCAGGCGCCCCGAAACTTCCATTTTCTGCATGAAGGCTGAGTTAGGGTAAAAGAAAGATTTGATGCTCTGCTTTTTTTTTTTTTTTTTTTTTCCTGTTTTAAGTTTATCTTCCTTTGAAGAACAGAGTCTGCAACTGTGCGTAAGCATTCTTCCATCATTTCCCTGTCACCAAACGGTCTATTGTCTTTGGCTAAAATTTCAGAAAGTACGCAACCAGCAGTATCTGATTGTAATAGGGCACCTTTGATCAGATTTCGGGGGCCAAAACGTACTGTTCTCCCTTGGCTAGGCCCGGTGCCCCTCAGGACAGGTGTCCGGTTCGAACACAGCCGGACAGCCCTACTGAATCACACCACCCTCAGCAGGCACTTTTCTCTTACTTAAGTGGAGCGGTTTTATTTTATATTCCTGAAAGTTTATTTATTTATTTTAAAGATTTTATTCATTTATTTGAGACAGCGCACGCGTGAGAGCCACACGAGGAGGGGGGGAGGGGCAGAGGGAGAGGGAGAAGCAGGCTCCCCGCTGAGCAGGGAGCCCGTCGCGGGGCTCGATCCCAGGACCCGGAGAGCATGACCTGAGTCGAAGGCAGACACGTCACCGACTGAGCCACGCAGGCGCCCCCTGAAGTGTATTTTTTAAGAGCTACCCTCCTTGGCCCCTCTGTCCCCATGGGGAAAGGCGTTCCCTGCAGAGGATTCGGATGAGCTGGGTCAGTGTAAGAAGCAGAGAGCAGGGCTGCCGAGCAGGGGAGAGGAGCCCAGAAGGCAGGCTGTAGCCCCGTCCTAGGAAGCCAAAAGTGGAAGAGAGGGTTGGAAGGGGCTGGTGGAGTGTGTACCTGTTCATCTCGTGCACAGCAGTGCTGTATGGAGAGTTGTAACTTACCCAGGGGTTGGCTTCTGAAGTTAACATGTGAGTGTCATCTATGGTCAGGATTTCCCTTGAGAGTCTCTCTTACATTGCCCTTGAGTACGTGTGGCTTTGTGCATATAACCCATACGGTCAATGACATGTCTGAATGCTCAATATGTAGAGTAGTGTGTATTATAGGACAGATGACAAAACATTATAAGCTATGCGTGTTTGTGCAAAGTAAGATTTTATAGCACACTTAATGACACAAGCAAAAGGTGGGCGCATACAGGTGCATGGTCCGTGTGGGTGTGATGCCACACCAGTGCGCTCTGAGCTGGACTTCTGGAGGGTTCCTCCACTCGAAGGGGTAACTGGGGAGCTGCTCAGGATCAGGAGGCCAGTGTCAGATTCCTGGATTGAAAGGAAAACATGCAGCAGTCCTCAGTGGCAAATCCAGCGTTCCCACTGAGGGGACGATTTTTCTATAAGTTGCCTTTGCTTGTACTCAGTGATGGGGTGGTTGGCAGACCGATGGGGAGACCACGGTGGAGTCAGCGGGAGGTAAGTCCCAGCACCAAGCCCAGCCGTCCTCCAGCTCTGTGCATGGAGGGGCTGCCTCCACCTCTCTATGTGCAGTATTTTTCTAAGTGAGAGAGGAGAGCTGCTGTTTGCTCATCTCTGTCTTGAGTGGCAGGACCCCTGGAAATGGTCTAACTCCATGTGCTAAGATGCTTCCTTTCCATTTCTGCTAGGCCGTTAAAGATACAGCAACATCCAGAGTAGTGCTGTTTGGGACCTCAGCTTTCATCCCTGAAGTCTTCTCGCACTTTTTTGTAAGGTAAGATGCATGCTCATCTCCCCAGGTAGGAATAAGCATTCGACACTCAAAATCCTTACAAAACTTGTCAAACGCTGAACCTGATGGGAGGGATAGGAAGAAGTTTGTTCAGTTGTCTTCCCACTAAACTCTCTTTGTCACAGCTTAGACAGTAGGATTGATTTGGGGCAGGCGTGGAAATCCAGATGTGCACGTTCCTCAACCCTGGTCTCTCGCCCAGGCCCTGTCTTCAGTTGGCTTTGTGTTCCCGGGCATGTCCCAGCACCTGCTGAGGCACGGCCCCTCGGGTCTTGAACACCGAGCTGAGGTGATGTGCAGGTTCTCCCAGCTCCGATGTGCTGTGAGGATTGCTCTATCCTGTCTTCCTCCTTCATGGCAAGCATGTGTTCAGTTAGCCTAAATGGCCCAGATTTAGTAGACCATCATCCCTTCTGAGAAGCAAGAAGTGGCCTAATTAGGAGGAAGGCCTAGGGAGCAGCTGGTGTGAGAAACCCAACACGCAGTGGCTTAGGCCAAAAGGCAGATGTGTTGGTTTAGATCCTGGCTGCGGGCGGGGGGCTCACGTAGCCTGTGGTCGCCGAGCAGAAGCTCTTCTCCTCCTCATCTTCATGGCGTCCGCTTCCTCTGTCCTGCCACACACTGGCTTCTTCGTGTTGCTGAGGGACATGACTGCCAACACCCCCCAGCTCGTATCCTCCAAGTGTCCTGATGAGGGATGAAAAACACAGCAAACCCCAGCGAAGGCAGAGAATGTCTTCCACTCAGTTCCCAGACTCCCAGGGAGGGATTCCGTTGGCCCAGATGGGGTCACCTTAACCAATCCCCTCTGTCCAGTGTGGCGAGCTAGGAAGCCTTTGTTAGGAACCTGTAAGGATCGCACTTTCAAGACATAGCAGCACGCTGCTTAGAGCCAAGTGTTACTTCCCGTGGCCCACCAGTTGGATGGGGGTGGGGACTTCTGCTGGCCCAGGCTCTTCCTGGACCGCTCTGGCTGGGTCAGAGCTGGGGCGCCTTTGGAAGCCGGGGTCCTCCAGTCTGTCCCTTAGAGCCCACATCGAGGCGCCGGCTACCGGGGGGGGGGAGACGGCGCTCATTTCCCAGTGGCCCCCACAGCCACAACAGTATCCGTGCCGGAGTGACCTCGGTGGCTCTTCTGACTCAGCCCTTGCGTCCTGCTTGTGAAGAAACCCAAGGCCCAGAAAGGGGAAGTGACTCGCCCAAGACACCCGGTCTGTCGGTGCAGACCCCAGCCAGGCCCGGGACCCTGGGTCTCTGACTCCCAGGCTGGGGTTCTTCGCGTCTTCCCTTGCTGTCGCTCACGCCCTCAGAGGTCAGGGGCGGAATGTGCCACCCGCGTCGGCAGAGCCCAGCATCTAGAATCTGGCCTGTCACTCTTGAGCCATGGGAGTTTGGACTTAACCAGTCAGTGGCTGTGCCCTCGTTTGCGTGAAGGGGGCGATGATAGCACGGACCTCAAAGGGCTGTGGGGGTCAAAAGGGCAGTGCCCACAAAGTTCTTAACCATGGGCCTAACGCACAGTGAGGCTGCTGGTATCACGTGTTTGTGGGCGAGGGGAACCAGGCCGTGGGCCGGCAGCTGCACGCCAAACTGTCCGAGCCGAGGGCCAGCCTCTGAAAATGCCTGGTAACCTTGTCTCTTACAGGACCCAGTTTTTCCGGCAACACCCGTGGTCATTATGGACCTTCAAGCTGTCTTGTACCGTCTTAGTAATGGGACTGATGGTGCCGGTTTCTTTTAGTATGTTCCCACAAATTGAACGGGTAAGTGCCCCCTATTCAGATCTCTCAAAAAAACAAAAAACAAAAACTCAAAACGCTTTTTCTTCTCCTTGTTGTAAGAGTAAGATAAATACTTCTAAAAAATTCGCAAAGTTTTCAAAAGTTATAAAAATAACTTTATTTAATCCCACCACCCCTCAGATCACTTCCGCAGTTTTGGATTCTGTTTTTCTTAGTGGTATATCAGAAGCATTTTTCTGGGACATTTAAAAACCTTTGAGATATTTTAAATACTTCCTAATATTCCATAGTGATGCCCCATGCAATGGAACTTTCTGCAGTGATGGACATGTTTTATCTGTGTGCTCACACGGCAGCCACTAGCCACGAATGGCTGTTGAGCACCTGCCATGTGGCTGACCTGACTGAGGAACTGAATTTTTAAGTTGTGTACCCACATGAAGCTAATGATTCCTGTGTTAGTGCAGTTGTATCAACTGGGACATATTCTAATTTATGATGAGTCAGACGACCTAGATTCAGATTCCCACCTCCTCCATGACCTTGGTCAATCTGCTTAAATTCTCTGAGATTCAGTTTCCATATCTGTTAAAGAGAATTGACCATAGTAGTATCTCTGCAAAGGGTTGTTGCTGCTATTGAGGACATTGCTGATGTAATTACTGATATTACTGATTTCTGGCATTTCTTAGCTGGAAATTTTAAATGCTTGTTTCTGCCACTGAAGTTAAAAATCAGTGATGTCTATAAAAGTATTTAAATTTCTGGAATGAACTTGTTCCAAACCGAACTTACGTAATTTTAGGTTCACAGAATCATTAATTCGGGCAACTCTGCTAGCACGTAAGAGAAACTTTAAGTTATCTTAGGTTGCTGAACTCTGAGGGTGCTGAGGGACAGGATGGGGTGGGCAGCTTCTCATTAAAATAAAATGTTAGAAAATATTTTTAACCTTCCCAGGCCCACCTATAGAACATGGTTTGTCGCAGTAAGATTACAGTAACAGTGAACCCTTTTGCGAATACTTATTTTGGATTGCACTGGTACTCAGAGTGAAGCAGGTGGCTGATCTGCAGGTTAGGTCATTGACAAAAGTCTTTAAATCTTGGGGGAGGGGCGCCTGGGTGGCTCAGTTGGTTAAGCGACTGCCTTCGGCTCAGGTCATGATCCTGGAGTCCCGGGATCGAGTCCCGCATCGGGCTCCCTGCTCAGCAGGGAGTCTGCTTCTCCCTCTGACCCTCTTCCCTCTCGTGCTCTCTATCTCTCATTCTCTCTCTCTCAAATAAATAAATAAAATCTTTAAAAAATAAAAAAAAATAAATCTTGGGGGAATTCCTGCTGCCCTGCTTCCCCCTGGGCTCTTGGATTCAGTCCACACACACTTACAGAGGGCCTCCCCTGGCAGACTGGAAGTAGGGTGCTGGGGTCAGCCCTGAGTAAACGGTGTCTTGCCCTTGAGTAGCTCTGAGAAAGCAATGGCATGTGCCCACCACGGGCTTTGATGTGGGGACCTAGGGGGAGGAGGAACCACAGAGCCCAGGAATCCTGACCTGGCTGAGGGTGGGGGTGGTGTGCTTTAAGAAGTCCAAGGGAAGAATCTTTTGCAGAGCTCCCTTTGCTGGCATGGGGGAGTCATGATCTAGAATCAACGAGTTTGTGGTTAGGTAATTGGGTATCTTTCTAGTTTGTCTTGTATGTGTCATCATGGGTCGTGGGATTCACTTTTGTGATGTTAGGAGTAACTCGGTTCCTTACTCTGTGATAGCATTTTGGTCCTTGGCTCGTGGCTGCTTTCTATGGCATGAGGTCACCCTTCTTATGGAAAGGCGAGATCCAGGACAGCCTGCCAGTGGCCAGAGCAACCCTCTCCGCTTCACCGCCGCCACTCTCGCCGGCCTCCTTGAGTCAGGTGGCCACTAGACTTAAAGTGACAGGGCTGAATGCATGTGTTTGGGTCATCGGGCCAGTGAGGGAGAGACCCCCGCACACAGGTAGCCGCAGACACAGTGGGATTGCGGGGGACACAGACAAGCACCGGGGCAGTGTGGGCGCGACAGAGGCAGCGTCGACAGTCGGGGGCTGGGGGCAGTGGCAGGGGAGGCTAACAAGTGCAACTTCTGTTTATCCAGCACCTTCTGTGTCCTGGGGACTCTGTCAAGCAGTCTCTCGTCTTCAAGACAACGTTTCATTTTCCCATTTTACAGATGAGGAGCCTGGGGCACGGGAGAAGATGAGATTCCCCTGTGGGTCGTGCGGCTGTGGAGTGGCGGGGCCAGCTGGTGAAGGACCTCCAGGCCCCCCACGGTGATAGACGATGAAGGAGAGGTTTCAAGGGGGGAGTGGCTTAGTCAGGTTGTATTTCAGAAATAGCACCCTTTGGATTCCAGGCTGTCGGTGGGGCCAGTCCTGGAGGCTGGGAGGACAGTTGGGGGGCTGTAGAAGTTTTCTGGCTGGAGGTGATGGGGGATTTGGAGTAAGTCCATGGTAGTTGGTTAGAGAGACAGAGTTGAATTGGACAAGTTAGAACCTGTGAGCATTCAGACGGGGAGAAGAAGAGAAAGGGACCGGGGGGGGGGCACCCATATATGTGGTTTAGGTTTAATGCCAGTAGCCAGGGGGGAGGAAAGAAAGGTCTCTATATTAACTAGGATTACATTTGGTTGGAACTGAGATCAGAATAACAGTGACCTCAACAAGGTGAAGGTTTATTTCTCCTTCACATAAAAGTGTGGGTGTCATAAGCACGCTACGCAGGTGCACACACGAGGTGTGCCTTTGCACAACGTCAGCTTGATTCAGTCATAAAGCAGAGTTAATCACAATGATAAAGCAGGTTCAGGATTCCAAACTCATTGACATTTCACCAGGTGATAAAACTTGGCTTCTTACCCAGCGCACCGAGCAGAACATAAGACAAGCCACACAACAAACAAGATAACAGAAGGGTGTAGGAAGTTAACGAACCAAACACCAAGGCAGTCTGTGGATGCGCAGTTGACACGAGGCCCCGGTCTGGTCCGGGTCAGCTCCTCGGCACTTGCTGCTTCTGATGTTCAAGCAGGGAAGGATCTCAGTTCTGTTCGGAGATCTGGCAGAGCCTTCGGCAGCAGATGCCTTTTTTAAGTGGTCAGACATAGAGGGGTCACGTTTGAAGAGTCTTAACAGCTTGCTGCAAAAATTCTCCCCTTTTATTTTTTTTTTATTTATTTATTAGAAAGAGAATGAGAGATAGAGAGCACAAGAGGGAAGAGGGTCAGAGGGAGAAGCAGACTCCCTGCTGAGCAGGGAGCCCGATGTGGGACTCGATCCTGGGACTCCAGGATCATGACCTGAGCCGAAGGCAGTCGCTTAACTGAGGCACCCCCAAAATTCTCCCCTTTTAAAAGGGATTTAATTGGGAGGCGCCTGGGTGGCTCAGTCGGTTAAGCTTCTGACTTGTGAGAGCAAGCCCAGCACTGGGCGTGGAGCCTGCTTAAGATTCCTTCCCTCTGCCCCCCACCTCCCGCTCACGTGCTTTCTCAAATAAATGAATGGATGGATGGATGGATTCATTCGGTCCTGGGCCCCTGTAGACCTCCTCTGCTTCTGCTTGTTACCAGTTCTGGGGTGTCAGCTGATGCTGGTCCCTGCAATACCTCGTAGCTGGTATGTTTAGCCTCGTACCTTTAATTGCTTGCATCATTGCCTCACAGGCTCCCATTTGACATGAGAGACTCCATTTTGCTCTCTACAGTGAGGTAGCCAGCCCAGTAAGGAAGCTATGTGTCATAGAGTCCCCAGGGGGGCGAATTCCTTCCAGCTCAGCAGGCCACCATCCCTAGGGTTGGGCCCCATCTTCAGGGTGCAAGATGGCCCCTTCCTCATTCCACTTGACCGGGTGGCACTTCCACTTCTGGTGCATTGGCCAGAACTTAGTCATGTGGCCAAAGCCTTAGTGCAAGGGAAGCTGGGGGATGAGGTCTTATTCTGGACCTACTTAAAATTCTGCTGCCATATAAGAGAGCAGGTGGGGCAGATGCTACAGGTTTTTGCAGAAAGGGTAATGTGTCACATATGGAAATAATGCTTACTTGCTAGAAAGTAAACATGACTGAAAGGCCATGGGGAAATTAGAGAAAGAAGAGAATTGCCAGCTGATCCAGGAAGGCTGCATGGAAGAGGGAAGCTTTGGACATGGATGGATTTGAACAGGCAGAGATCGGGGAGGGAAGAGGGCATTCCAAGTGGGGGCTATAGGAGAGCTGAGGGATCCAGTGTAGCTGAGCACATGTGGCTGAGTGTGACTTGCAAGATGCTTGGGGCCAGACGACAGGATGCGCACGGCCAGCCTGAGGAAGCAGGCTATACTCTGAAGGCAGCAGGTGGGTCCTGCAAGGCTTGAAGGGGCTCCCAGGGGCCAGAGTAGAGGCAGGAAATGGAGTCCATCTCGCCTCTCGAGCCTCTCCCCACCAACAGCCAAGTAAGTCTTAGCATTTGCTGGACCTTGAAAAGACCTTGTTGATCCAAGGTGGACCCAGAGGTGGCTGAGTGGTGGTCCTGAGCCAGTGGGGGCCCTGCCTCCTTGTCTGGCCTAGGGTGGCCAGCTCTGCTTGTCGAGAAATCCCAAGACCAGGATATTCTTCTCAGACAGACCACAGGCTGCAGCAACCTTCTGGTCTGGAAATTCAAGGACCTTGACGGGAAAGCTTGTCCACCTGCAAAACTTTTCCGATAAGCCGCCCCTGCCTGCCACTCTCAGCTAGTACTTCTGCCCCCTTGCTAGGCTAGAAATGTGGCTGGGTATTAGGGGACTGTTGTTGATTTTGTTAGGTGTGATGACAGCAGAGCAGTTACGTAACAAAGTCTTTATCTTTTGGAATTTCCCACTGAAGTATTTGTAGGTAAAATGGCAGATCTGAGAGTTGCCTTCAGATACTCCAGAAAATACCCCCAAGCTGGGTATGCTGGATGAAAGAAGACTGGCAGATTGTTAATAAACTGGAGTGATGAGTATATGAGGGTTCATTATATTCTTTCTGCATTTGTTCATATTTAAAATTCTCCATAACAAAGTGTTTCGGAAGTCATGTGTTGTGCAATAGATTGGACATCACTGAAAAAAGTGGGACTGGGAAACAGATGCTTTCTGAATTTTTTTTTTTAAACTTTAAAGGCAAGGAAAGTCTTAAAAAAAAAAAATGAAGAGTTTGACTTTGTTTTTCAGATACAGTGCAGTGAACTTGAAAAGGAAATTCAGTCCTCAACAGAAGAAACAGAACTCTTCTATAACAGAGGGGTGTAGGGATGTGTTGTTTTCGGTGAATTTGTTTGGTTCCTGCTTGAACACCTTCCTCTCTGCTCGAGGTGTCCGATTGGAGAACTCTGCGGGAAGTCTGGAACCCGAGGTGTCTGCGCCCACAGGTTGCCTTACAATTACACAGGCCACGGCCGTTTCAAGGCTGGTGCCTGGGCTTTCGAGCCTGGATGGAAGAAGGGAAGAGAAAGGAGAGGCCGTCCTGTCTGACCCACCCCCATGGGGCTGCCGAGAGAATGGCTGATAGAAGAGTCCATTTTTATTTTCTGTGTTCATCAGCCTCTGAGGGACACTGTGAAATGACTAATAAACTTATCAAAAGTTGAGTGTTCAAAAAAAATCAAGAAGGGTCCACCATGCCCAGGGCCCGGGCATTCCACTGGTGGCCCATCTCAAGGTAAACAGGAACCTCTGGTGAGCACTAAAGGCCTCCGAGCCCCAAAGCCACCCTGTCTCCCTCCTCAGCTTCCTCCCGTTTTGGACTGCTTCACATCTCTGCCCTCAGCCACCCATCTCCTCCTCTCCCCCGACTGGTCCGTGACCCTGCCTCCTTCGCGGTGAAAACCAAAACGACTGGCCAGCAACAGAACCTCCTGGCACCAAATCTGCAGGCCTCTTGACACCCCCCCCTCCCTGCCCCCAGCCTTCCCACCTCCTTGCAAGGCCAGCTGTGCCCTAGGCTCTGGGCCCCTCCGGCTGGATCCCCTCAGGGCCTGGCTCTGCAGTGGCCCGGCCTCCTCCCTCCTTTGCAGTACGTGAGTCACCAGCCTTATTAAACAAGCAAACAACCTTCGAGAGCCAAATTTGGTCAAAGATTGTCTCCCCTCACCGTTTCCACCCCGCCTTCCACTCTGCTAAAACTGCTCTCCTCCGGGCCCCACCCAGACGCCTGACCGCCACTCTGCTGGGTGCTCAGACCCAGCACTGGGCTTGCTGCCCTGAGCCATAGGCCCCTGTCCTGCTGCACTGGGCGCTCTGCCATCCACATGGCCACTTGAGACCATCTTTTCCTCCCAATCTCAGAAAATGGCACCGCCACGTAACATCACCCAAGAGCACTGGCGTCACCCTCACTCCTCCTCTCCCGAGGCCTTTCATAGCTGAGCCCCAAGGTGTCAGGTCTCTCAGCCCCTTTCCCAAGCCTGCCCAGTCCAACAGCATCCCCTGTTGGTATTCCTCTCTCATCTCCTCTGGCTCCTCCGATCCGTGCCCCAGCCTGCTCTGACAAACACCTGCGTAAAAGCCTTAGCTGGCTTCCCAGTGCATCAGGTCAAGTCCAGATTCCCTGCCAGGCAAAAACCTTAACCTCTCATCTCTTCCCACTCCTTTTCCTCACTCTGGACCAATACCCCGTTCCTCATATGGACTATGGTCTTTCCTTCCTGGACCTTCATATCAGCTGTCCCCTGCCAGGCTAACTCTTGCTTATGCATCAGGTCTGACTTAGACATCACTCCCCTCCAGGAAGCCTTCCAGGATTCACAGTACTGAATTAGGTGCCCCTTCTATGTGCTCCCATAGCACTCATACGGTGTCTAGCACTTAACGCACCGCAGCAGAAGAGCCTGCTTGTTGTCCCTGCGCCGTCAACTGTGTGCCTCGAGGGCAGGAAGTGTGTCTGGTGCATCAGGGAAGCCCCAGGATACAACACCATGCACAGCACAGGAGGCACCCAAACACTGGCATACTGGAGGAATGTTTCCAACATACCCTGCCCCAAATCATCAAGGAATCTATCTGTGGCTTTCAGCGTCCCATAGGTTATCTTCAAATTTGGTTAAAAGGGTTTCACAACAGCCTACAAGAACAAAAAGTCAGTAAAAAAGAAAAAAAAAAGTTCTACCGGGGTGCCTGGGTGGCTCAGTTGGTCAAGCGTCTGACTCTTGATCTCAGCTCAGGTCTTGATCTCAGGGTGGTGAGTTCAAGCCCCGCGTTGAGCTCCACGCTGGGTATGGAGCCTACTTTAAAAAAAAAAAAAGTTGCACCAGATGGCTCAGTACAGCCACAGGCGTACACTAAACAAAAAGAACAAAACTTACACAAAGGCCCCAGGTGGAGGCTTAGCCACTAACAGGTGACAGAGTAGAAATACGAGAGCATCTTTTCAAAGACACTGAAGTGCCAGCCCCAGGAAGTGGAGGGTGGGGAGAAGGGCGAGGGCAGGGAGAGCAGGGGGCAAGCCAGGGGTGGAAGGAGGAAGCCTGAACCCCTTGACTTTCAAACAGGTCTTGTAAGAACTCCCCAGTACATCTGCATTGACAAAAGGGTTTTATCTTTTGTTCAAAGTGGGGAGAATTACAGAAAGAGGGCACAATTCTTCAGCTGCCTAAAACTGTTACAGAGTATCAAAATACTTCCATTTTATTTCTGCATCATAAATCTGTAACTTTAACAATGTTGATCATTAGCTGATATAGTAATACAAAAAATGAGGGAGATAAAGATGTTCATATTCATAAAGTGCAGATTTAATTTTCAATTGTTTGCCTTAGAAACATCACCTCATTCCACATCCTCCCCTGCCCCCACCCAAGGAGGGAGGGAAAAAGGCTATTTTTTATTTTTACCCAACAAATGTCTAACACAAAGAATAAAAGAAAGATCTAATAAAGATTTTTTTACAAACATTTTTCCGGGTAGGTAAGATTTCTAAGGACAACAGTAGTGAGTGTAAAATAACCTTTCATAACTAATTTGAATACACAGAATAAAATAACAAATACATAATTTAGACCTCCATGCTTATTTTGTGACTTTTAGGTCTCGAACTATGAAAAAGATACATAACCTGAACAAGAACAGTTACCTTCATATGTGGCCAAATGACTCTTACTGAAGTCTGAAGACACTCTCTGATCTTGGCCTTGGCAATTACAGAAAGCTGCTGTCGCACTCATACATTTACATCCAAAATGGGCTTCTTATTTTACTCTACCATGTAAGGACTGGCATCTTTTTCAAAAGAACATTGCTAGCAACAGGGTTAATTAAAGAGTACTAGTGGCTTAAGTTTGCCAGATGCTTACCTCTGCAACAGTATAAATATGGATTATTAAAGTTGTCTACTCAAGTACAAAATTTATGCAAAATCCTCATAATATAGGCAAAAATGTTCAAAGGCCAAGAAAAAAAAATCTTTTCTTTTACAAGAAAGTGCAACTGCAGGATCTTTTCTGAATGATCTTCTAGACTGTTCTGCAGAAAACTTAGTTTGGCTCAGAAAGTAGAGTTCCTCATGAGGAACAAAAGTTCTTCCTAGAAGAATATAAAGCAAAATTTCAGGCAGCTTTCTGAAAATAAACTGTTAGTTGGTGATTACGCAGTGAGACAACTGGAACTTATAATAATGAAGGCTTCTAGGTTTGCTGTGATTTGCACAAGAACTTGGCAGAGCTTTTTCTCTCTTACTCCGGGACGCCACGCCATTGCTAATGTTATTTATGGTGGTTACAGCACTTTGTCCAACACTGACTGCAGGCAGGAAACCAATCAGGAGAAAATAGGAAGGGTTTTCATGTGTTTCAGGGCTTTTTCAGGTCAAATCGCAATACTTCCAATTAAATCGTTAAAAATATAACATTTTCTTTGTTATTTTCAGTATTTTACATAGTTAGTGGATAATCGTGGTGAGAGAGCTTTCTATCATTCATCAGTGATACATCGTCACAGTCAGATTTTCAGCATCTGCTCAGCTGCCGCTAGATGGTAAAGGAAGTTTTCTGTTGCTGGTGGAAATCGTCTTTGCTTTAGGGCCTCAAAATTGAGAACTAGCTTTTCTCCATCACCAGAAACTTCTGAAAATGGTTCCAGGTTGGTGAAGATTTCTCTTGTTTTTAGGGAAATATCCTTTAATGGAACAGGAAAATATGTCATTTGTCAGCATCAAAAAATATGAATCGTTGTTGCATTCGAAGAGAATTCTTCCTGCTATTTTTTAAGTCTATCAGACTATAAATTAGGAAAACTGAAACTTAAAAAAACTTAGAAAAACCAGTGTCCTGTTTTTGCCATTTTGGCCATTTTTAAGTGTATGATTCAGCAGCATTAAGTACATTCACAGAGTTTTATGACTACTATCCATTTCCAGAACTTTTTCATCCTCCTAAACTGAAATTTTGTACCCATTAAACAGTAACTCCCCATCCCCGTCTCCAACCCCTGGTAACCACCATTCTACTTTTTGCCTTGATGAATTTGCTTATTCTAGGTACCTCATATAAGTGAAATCACACAATATTTGTCCTTTTGTGTCTGGCTTCTCTCACTTAGCATAATGTTTTCAAGGTTCGTCCATGTTGTAGCACAACTTAGAACTTCATTCCTGTTAAGGCTGAATAATATCCTACTCTATGCACACCGTGTTTATCCATTCATCCACTGATGGATATTTGGGTTATTTTTTACCTTTTGGCTATTGTGAATAGTGCTGCTATGAACATGGGTGTAAATACTTCTTTGAGTCCCTATTTTCAATCCTTTCTCCTATACATCCAGGAGAATTGCTGGATCTATGGTAACCCTGCGTTTAATTTTTTGAGGAACCCTGCTATTTTTAGAACAGATCTCCTCCCAAAGCCCTTTTCCGCCTGGGGCGAGTGACCCGGCACCCATCACATGGGCTGTACCCCCACTGACTGACAGCACTCTGCATGGCTGAGGAGTCACCAGAGCTGGCACTAAATCATGTCTTTTTCTTGGTTTGCTGACATCATTCATTCATTCAAATATTTTCAAACCCCTAAAATATGCCAGGCACTTTCCTCATACATTATACTGAGTCACCTATGTATCACTTTTAGTCCACGAAAAACACAGTAATTCAAAACTCATATTTACATAGCTAACCAACATGGTAAAGAGTCAATGTTTTGGGGCACCAGGGTGGCTGGTTAAGGGTCCGACTCTTAGTTTCGGCTCAGGTCATGATCTCATGGGTCCTGAGATAGAGCTCCACATCAGGCTTTCCGATCAGCGGGGAGTCTGCCCCT